TATATATATATATACACACATGTCATTTTAGTGTCAAAAGAGTCACCCTATGGAAGCTGCTGCAGCTTGTGTTACCTTGTTGGGTGTGTGACTGACAGACAGTGAGAGACTGAGCCCTATTCTGCAGATAGGGTGGGCCACAGAGTACACAACTAACATTCCTAAAGTTATTAAGAGTTAACTGTGCCAGTCTGCACTTTAAATACTTCAGTTAATTCACCCTGGGAAAAAAATCTATAAAAATGAATACCTTCTGAATATTTGTAGGATTTATTTTATAGGCTTCTGTTGAATACTTGAAGTTTCAAACACCCTCTGGCTTAGAGTCAGATCATGAGTGAATAGAATATAAGTGCATATTTACAAAAAGTGTGAATTATCTTCATTATCTTCTGGTCTGTTCAGAAGATCTCCTCCAGTCTTGACTAGTTTGGTGCCCCATTATATAGCTATACAACTTCTTTAAAAGATGTGTAAAATACTAGAACCACTCATATACGTATTAATAGCTAAAATGTTGCTGCAAAGCACATTTACAAGTAAATGTTACTTGACTGCGTACTTTCAGGCCCATGTAAAAATTACTTCTTTGGCAAATCGGCCACTATGTGTTCATTATAATTTAACATTATATAGCCTAATGAATTTCAGCAACATTTGTTCTCAAGGCCTGCTAATAAATGTTCTTACAAGGGTGCTAATTAAATGAATAGATCTCTATTTACTATCTATTCTTATATATAATGTGTTTGATAATTTGCAAGTGATATTTTATATATACTGTGATAAGAAATCTATTAGAATTGTCCTTTAATGAAATGGCATTTAGATTTAATTGTTAAATGTTTCCTGAAAAAGCAGCATTCAAGGACATCTGAAAACTGAAACTTGTCAGACGTACTGTACTCTCTAGGCTATTTCCTCACTTTGAAGCCCAAATTTAGCCCAAAATTACCCTTTAAGTGCCACCCTTAAAAGGTAATTTTGGGTTAAATGCTTATTTAGTATAGGGATAGAAGAAAAAGCAGTAGTACTTATTATATTATTTGCTTCCGCAGGCTTTCTCCTGGCAAGATCACCCCCCCCCAAGCCTCTTCTCTTCACAGGCTTTCTGATGTCATCACGTACATCGCAGGGCTAGCATTGTACCTGAAGACAGGGAGAGCCCACCTTTATCCTGGGAGCATCACAGAGCATAGGAGAGTGCCAGCTTTTAGGGAAATGAGGAGTAAGGTAAGTATTACTGCTCATTTATCTACCACTAGAATAAATGAGCATTTAATCCTTGCAATGTAGGGGGCCCCAACTGCAGGGGTGCTTTTTGTTTAATTCCTGGAGTTTAGCTTTGATATTAATGCATAAAGATAAAGTTTCATATTTGTGTGTTTGTGTGTGTGTACGCGTATTGTAAGTATTTCTGTATGTATCTTGTATTATGATTTTTTTATTTCTGTGATATGCAAACACGATGGGGGGCTGCAAGGGTAAGACTTAATTCATCCTGGAGTTCATCTGTGAATACACTAATAACTATTGTATGGATAAAATTCAAGAGAAAAGTCATAGCTAAAAATAGCTGTTCATGGTAAGGTATTTGTTCTGTAAACTGTAGTTTTAAAAACTAAACCTATTGGAAACGATAAATTGTTTATGCTTGTAGCAGTGGAGTTCTAGAACTACTATTATTATCAAAAGAATGTCTCTGTAACTACAGAGTCTATAGAAAAAAAAAAAATTACATACCACGGTCTGAAAATCTACAGTAGCTACCATGGTGGTATTAAAGAGCACATTTCAGTGCAAGGATTATTAAATGAAAGCGTAGAAAGGAGTTACTGAAGAAAAAAAAGTAATGTTTGTGCGTGTACAAAAAAAATACATTTGTAATTTTCTTCATTTTGATTATTTAAAAAATCATCCATAGACCATAGTAAAAATATAATTTATGCATTAAATAAGTGGTTTGATTTATATTAAAATAACCATAGACCATAATATTTGCTCATAAATAGGTATGAAAAAATACATAATATTAGGGGACAGGAAATATATGTCTGAATAAATAGTTCAGTAGTTGTCCAGAAAACATAAAATATACACGTCATCAGTGCACCTATTCTTGCGCATTCAGATACTGCTGGCAGTTAAGATCGCCTTTGTTTTCAGGAGAACCTGGAATCTTCTTTCCAGTTAATGGATAGACACACCAGCATTTTCCTCGTTCTCCATCTAAAGCAGTCTCACACTAGATAAAATAAACAGTAACAGATACTCAGTATATCATGAATTACATAGTAAAAGATAAAGTCATTACAGAATTAGAAATATATGCAGTTGCATATCTAGCTAGTAATTTGCAATGTTGTAATGTGAAAATACAGTATGTTAGCTTATGTTTAGAACAATATTAGAATTGTACCTGTTTACTATGGTAAAATCCATTCCTATTACAGTTGGGAATGTGAAACCTATATAAGTCTTCTCCAGTTCTTTGTTGAACTTTTGCCAATCTGTCCATTGCTTTGTAAAGTTCTTTCTGACATGGTCCCTAATAACAAGTAGACAAATATGGATGTTGACTGCAGCAGCTTACAATAGGCAACATAGCATTTTATAATCAAGGAATAACTTTTGTGCTTTACTATGTTAACCTTATTTTCTATCATTTATAAAAGAGTCACTATATGCCACACATACACACTGTAATTATTTAACAACTTGACAACATGCAGTAATGCATAAAGCAAATACATGTGGAAGCACATTTGCATTAATTATAAAAAAACAATCATTATATCAACATGGGGGCTGTCTTTGAATATGTTGGTTGTTTTCTATAAATGCTAGTTACCTTACTGTAAAGCTAACCCACATACACCAGTAATAAGTATGCAAATAAGGGCTTCTTAAGCTGCCTATCTGTTGCTGTGCATTGACTTAAATGAGTTTGTCAGCATAACCGCCAGTCAGCAAGCTTTTTCAAAAGTAGGACAGCAATGGCAACATCTGTATTTCCATCTTGACAGGGTCACTTTAATAAACCCTAACATTTAACCTAGCCACTAAAGTGAGCCCAAACACTTAACATCCCCTACAACAGTAACCAGTACTGTAAGCTCTTCACTATTCCACTAGGCTTTGGTGCTATGCATACTTTTTTCTATAATGTCTTCATGATATCACATGAAACATTCTCAGAGCTTTGTGCTGCCTTTCAAAATATTTGCTCCTAGGTAGCATGCATATTAATAATAACAATAACAATCTATTACAAGTATACAGCATATTACTCTGTATTGGACTGTAAATTCAACATTATTTTATATGTTTACCAGCTTTGCTATAGTACAAATTATTAATAGCTTACCTGTGGTTGGTCCTTTAATTTCTTTCTCTCAAAGAGCTTCTTTGCCTTTATGCGTTCATACATAATTGCATTCCAGGCCTCAAATTTATCCAAACCATCAGGAAACAGTCGGAGGAATGGTGGGAGCTGGTCCTGTGTAAGATCAGTTCCTTCTGGAGCAGTATTTTCATGTTCTGAGTAGTCCTTTATTTCTACAAATAGATACAACAAACAGCGATTAAATATAATACACTATGCCTTTATTGCCTATGCCTATTATTTTTATAAATGTATATAAATATTTACCATATTTACTTTTTTTTCTTATTTAAAAAAATCTCAAATGTTAATGCTTTGCAGTTGAGTAGAAACAGTTTAGTAATTCATACTTAGAAAGCATGTTCCGTGTCAAGGAAAAATCATAATTACCTTTTAGTAATATTTAAATAAGATTGTGAAACCCTTTTTGGCATTCCAGCCATTTTTGCACATAAAGTTTAGCATAAAGTAACACAGAAAAAAAAATCCTACACAATAAACAAATGGGTCTAAAAATAATAAGCAAGTACATTGGTATGTAGAGGGAAATGTCTGTAATATTTCCTGGCTTCCTTCTACACAAGCAAAATACTATTTTGCTTGTACGTTACATGCATGAACAACAAAATATTTTTAGTCACTAAAACAGTTAAAATAGTAATTAGTTTTAATATGATAGCACGATCATCTGGAATCTATTATTACTGTTTGCCGCAGTTTAAAAATAAACTTTTCAATAAATGTGTTTATGGTATGGATAAGTTAGACAGTTTTATAACTTAGATTTGCTCTTGGTGTTAAAAATTTAAATATAATATTTAAATCTAAAGATATTCTGTTAGACTGTAAACTTATACAAGCAGGGTCCTGATCTGCTCCTTCATTGTGTTCCTGTATCATATAAAGTACACTGCACTTCATTAAAAAAACACAATAATAGCAGTGATATAAAGATATGTTATCTAGGTAGAAAGGGGCTTGTTATCATAGGATGATCTTTCACCTCCCTGATGCAACAAAGTAGGACACAGGTCAAAAAACAAGCATCAGTTGAGAAATCTGAAGTATGTAATAATCAGGCGATAGTACAGACAGCTGTAAAAAAGAAAATAAACAAAACAAGTCTATCCCTTTTACTTTGCTACATTTTCCCCCAAAAATTAATAAATACAATTTTTTTAATTGAAATGCTAAATATATATTAATTTATTTTTTTGTAGTTGGTTTTTCTACTTTTGTAATAATAATAATGTTGTGTTTGTCTCATGTAACAGCTATAGATTACATTCAAAAGACAATTAGAGGTTCTATAGTTCTAGGTAAACATATTAACATATCTTACAGTAGTATTTTGTCCCTTCCATATTTACTGCTTGCACATGCCTCAATTTCTAATTAATAAAGACAAAATATTTTCTTTATGTTATCTTATTTTTAGGCAGCACAAAAAAATAAATGTAAAGTTAGATAAAACTTATGTAAACAGAATTAAACAGACAGTTATATTCGGATGCTATTTTTTACTAAAAACATCTTTGTTATGCGTATCTGGAAAATGTCACACACACTCACCTGTAGTATCGCTAGATCTCATCTTCTCTAAGTCTTCTGCATCCATGCAAATTCCTTGTCCTCTTGTAAGTGCTTGGAGGGGTCTGGGCTCTCCAGGTTTTACATGACAGCTAAGTGCTTTTCCACACCTTGCGGTGTACACCCCACAAGGTTCCCCACGTTTTAGTGCGCAAGTCAAACAGCAACCACAGCCTGGTTCTCGTGCCAGTTCTGGGCACTCAGCAGGTACTGGTGCGCAAAGGGCTAATTTCTCTTCAGTGCACTGGGCACAGTGCAGTGGTTCTGTGACTGAAATCACTACTGCCATAAAAAGCAGGGAGGCTTTTAATAGCCAAGTACAGGGGCTGTGTTCTCTAGCCATTAGCTTTTTGAAAGTATTTAACTAAGAGCACTATGTTGTGTGAGCTGTTCTTGTGTGTAAGATCAGCAGTATAGCTTAGTGATGAGAAGTCTCTGAAACCCAGTCAAGAAGGCTTCCTAAATACTTGTGTGTCAGTTCCGCTCTTCATATATACAATGCATTGCCGGGGGGCCTACGACATTAATGTTTTACCTCAGATTAATCATTAGCCCTGAGGAATTATTTGTAAAAACACACTGTGATTATTACTGCAATGTCTTTGCTTTGGGTGGTCACTACATGCCCTGTAACCTTCCCTTTATACTCTATTGCTTAACAGTGACGCCTAACTGCCCATATCTGCACACAGCAAGTTCAGTTGTCAAAACAAAGCCTGAGAAAAAAATGTTACAAACTTAGTTTGATTTACAACTTCCTGAATAACAAGGAAATCACATTCCATCAACCTTAGCCCCTCTTTAGAAATGTTCCAAAGTCACCTTTTCAGGCAATGACAGGCTAGATCTGTTGGAGATAACAGAGGGCACTGATTTCAAACTAACCTTTTTTTTTTTTTAAAGAGGATGTGTTTGAAGTGGCATGAGTAGATAATAAACATCTGACGTCTATTGGCTATACAAACTTGTTTTGGCCAACTGCAAATTCTTTCCTAATCTTCCTACGTAACCAAAGTGTTAATGTGTAATACTCATGATCTTGCTGCGGAGCAGGTGTACACTAACAGCATGTCAGTCTAAATGACTATGCACCATATGCATAAATATAAAAGACATAAATTAATATACGTAATATAGATAGAAAAACTGTCTTAAAGTTTTTTTTAACTAAAGCATTTTTAAACTATGTACACATGCTATTCAATTTAATGTTCAATATTAAAACTTTATATTTAGTGTACTTGTAGTAGAGTGTTTGCTAACCCTGCATGTGGAATTAGTTCTGTGCTGCATATCTGGGGGACACAAGCATGAGCAAATACTGCTTGGAAAAGAAATGTTGCATCACCTCATTGTGCAACCTAGTATTAAATTTAAAAAAAATTGTCCATATAAGTTTGCACATACCAAATATAATGTAAAAAATGCATCTTCTTTACATTTAAATTAACATTCATTAATGAAAATTCACCAGTTAAAGCACCCTCAATTTAATCACATATGCTCCCACAAGATACTGCTTAAACAATTGAACCATTTGATAACTAGATCAATATAATTGGACGTGGTTCTAGATCTGGGTCAAGAATAAAGTGAGCATAATACAACGATGACTTATATGATAAATATTCTAAGTATAATAAGAACAACCAATTATATATTTTATTGACAAATACCCAGAAAGTGTGAACATGCTTATAAAAGACAAAATAAATCAAATAGTAATGATAAATACATGAACAAATATCCAAGACATAATTAGTACCTCATAAACTATATATAACTGTCCCTATCTGCAACATTCAAAACACCAATATTATTTCATAACAGCTCTAGAAATAAATGAAATAAAGCCCCAACCATGGAGTGTTCAAAAGGAGAAAAGGCAATGTTTTTACAAGTAGAACCACACTGGAGAATGTGCTCTTTTTCACAACTTGACCCCTAGTCAAGACAAGACGGCAGCCTGAGAACAGGATTCATCCTTAACAGGGTCTAGTGCAGATTGGGAAACTATCTACCTTAATCTTCTGACAGGCTCTATGAATACCAACAAAAAGGAGACAAATTATAAATTAAAAACCCGATGGTATCAAACCTCTGACCATCTCCATAAATGTCCCCAGACATACCAGCTACCTGCTGGCATTGTCATGGAGCTGTAGGCTCCCTCCCACACATCTGGTGGTTTTGTTGCCGGAAAATTCAGTTCTGGGAAGAAATACACAGACTACTCAACCTGATCACAGGGGGATCTGTTGCTTTCTAACACCGCTTTCTTCCTCTTCTAACTCTCATGGCTATTCCTATTCTTCTTGTAGACGCTCACTTTCCCTACACTTACTCAATCCGGCTAAGGTGTTAATTTCCAGGCTTTGGAAATCTCCTAAGATTCCTAGCATTTATGACTGTTTCCGCAGGATTGACTACAGAGAGGAAATTGAAGAATTGGTCTATATCAGTAATGACAATATGATCACGTACTTGTGCACCTGGATCAAATGGGTACTATTTAAAGACTCTGATCTAGTCCTATAGGTGCACGGGGACTCTGGACTCCTCTACTGGGCCTAATGCCTGCTGAACACCATGTCTTCCCTTTCATGCTACTAGCTTTGGCATCTGACAACAAAACTTCCAAAGGCCAATTATTTGGCCCAACCCTTGACCACCTACCACCTTTACCACCAACACATGTGCCCTGGGGGCCCTGGAAGATCTCCCTCCCTATCCATGTTGCCCCCCCCCTTCTTTTTCTTCGGATTACTGCCCCCCATTTCTGTACTTTGCTCCTTTTTATTTCCTATCTGTCTCCAAATACTTGCAACCCCCCTTAATGCTTTTTACTACTGCCCCTTAGCTTGTGTCCTGTACTACTAAGGCTTCTTTTCCAGGAACCCTTATTCAGCTTTTTTCCCCAAAAATTTAACCTGACATTTAAGTGTATATATGTTACATTAAAAACGAAGAATTATCATACCGACTGCATAGAAAGCATTGCAGCAGTTGGAGTAGGCCACATTTTAAAACTGATACAATGTATGCAGCTCGTCAGACCAAATATACACAATAAAGTTTATTTTTTTTACACTAACCAAATAAATATTTTGCATACATAGTTACATAGTATTTGAGGTTGAATAAAGACATAAGTCCATCAAGTCCAACCTATTGTGTGTATGCATTTATGAGCTGGTGTGTGCGTGTATATGAGTCCATGTGTTATTTTTCTCTGAATGTTATGGTCTCCCAGGACCTCGTTCAGGAGTCTCTTGAATGATTCCACACTCTTAGCTGAAATCACTTCTTGTGGCAGCGAGTTCCAGACCTTAACCGCTCTAACTGTGAAGAACCCCCTGTGTGGTGAAATTTTTTTTCCACCAATTTTTGGTTGTGCCCCCTGGTCTTTGTTACGGAGCTGACCGTAAACAGTTTGTTACTGAGGTTGCTGTCACCCTTGAATAGTTTATACATGAAAATCATGTCCCACCTTAATCTCCTAACCTCTAACGAGGACATATTTAATTTTAACAACCTTGTTTCATAGTTCAGATCCTTAAACCCCTTAATGAGTCTGGTTGCCCTCTTCTGGACTTTTTCCAGCTCAAGGACATCCTTTCTGAGTATTGGTGACCAAAACTGGACCGCATACTCCAGATGTGGCCGAACCAGTGATCTATAAAGAGGCAAAATTATAAAATTACTGCATAGGTATTATTTATACAATTACTTTTTACCTTTTTGGCTAAACCACATCCCTCATTTAGCTTTGAAGAACAAAAACAAATGAATTTCTACAATTTCTTGCAGACCTAATTCTCTAATACTTCATTTAGCTTTTGAGGACCACAATAATGTAAAGTTTTACATTTTACAGATAAAAATTGTATGATATGCTACACACAGCAGACAGCTAAAAATTGTAATGGCTCTATACACAGTAATTTTAAAAAAATACTTTGCTTTATTTTGAACAGGGGAGACATCAGGCAGTTTCACACACCATGTAAGCAGTTTTACTGGGCTGCTGTTTAACAGGATATCAAGAGATACTAGGCATGTTTAATGAGATACCACTTTAATGAGATACTAGGCATGTTTTAATAAAGATTAAGTCACAGATAGAGCACACAATTTCAGACAGACAATAGCCACAAATATTCTTGACTGGAGGAGCACTAGAATAGGCCAAGAACTAGGAAACAAAGCATGATTATGGTGTACGTTTAATAAACTGTGAAAGAGTGTGATAAGCAGTGAGAAGGCTTTTCTCACCTTAGCAAAGTGAAAAGTCTAGAAAATGGTGTTTAATAACCCGAGATAAGTCAGGTAGGAACAGAAATATCTCACCTCTTCTCATCCTGGTGATAAGTACACAGAAAGTAATGGAAATGTACCTGTTTAATAAAGGGAGAAAAGTAGAGAACAGCTTTATCACGAGATACAGTAAGTATTGTGCAAAGTACCCTTGATTTAGCACCCTTTCAGACCTGGTGCTAAAGGCCTTTTTCTCGTAGAGCACTGAGCAAAGATACAGGAACCTCCTCCTCTGTCTCTCAGTTCTTCTCTGTTTCCAGTCCTGAGGAGAAGTTTGAGTGGTATGTTCTATTCAGAGCCTAGTGCTATTCTATCCAGCTGTTACCGCTATCTAACTTTTTAAAGAAATAAATACATATACTATAGTATATATTATATATACTATAT